CATGACGCATTTTTCTTAAAAAACCAAAAAGTTCGATCTTTCAACTATTAATTTTGACTTATAAAAAATCCTTTAAAATGAATCCAAACTCGACGTATTTAACTTTGAAATCAATGGAGATACAACCACTTCCGGTTTGAAACGTCAGCGTTAATTTTGACATATTTGTCATCTTCATTAAAAAACCTTTAAAATGAGTCCAAACATGACGCATTTATCTCAAAAACCAAAAAAGGTAGAATAAAAAACATTAAACACGAAGTTAGCAACAATGAAGATAGCGATTTAATTTTTAAATATTAATACCAACCTTAATTTTTGTTTTTTTTTATTATATTTTTGTTTTTGTGACAAATATTAAGACATTTTATAAAAATTAAGAATATGTCAAAATGACATTGACATTTCAAACCGGAAGTTGCTTATATCTCGAGTAATATTGAACGTATCATGTTTAGACTCATTTTAAAGGATTTTTCACGACTATTACAAATATGTCAAAATTGACGTTGACATTCTTAACCGAAAGTTGACCATAACTTCATTAATATTGGAGATAAATATGTTGTGTTTGTACTCATTTTGAAGGATTTTTAATGAAGATTACAAATATGTCAAAATTGAGGTTGACATTTTAAACGTGAAGTTAGTTATCATATAATACACAACTTCATGGTGTTCTTTCATTGTGTATTCTTCATTAAAAAACCTTTAAAATGAGTCCAAACATGATGCATTTATCTCAAAAACCAAAAACTTCGATCTTTCAACTATTAATTTTGACATATTTGTCAACTTTATAAAAAATCCTTTAAAATGAGTCCAAACTCGACATATTTAACTTTAATATTAATGTAGATTGAATCACTTCCGGTTTGAAACGTCAACGTCAATTTTGACATATTTGTCATCTTCATTAAAAAACCTTTAAAATAAGTCCAAAGATGACGCACTTATCTCAAAAAACAAAAAAGTTAGAATAAAAAACATTAAACCCGAAGTTAGCAACAATAGCAAAGGATTTTTTACGACGATTACAAATATGTCAAAATTGACGTTGACATTCTTAACCGGAAGTTGTCCATAACTTCATTAATATTGAAGATAAGTATCTCGTGTTTGTACTCATTTTAAAGGATTTTTAATGAAAATTACAAATATGTCAAAATTGAGGTTGACATTTTAAACCTGAAGTTAGTTATCATATAATAGAAGTTTTATAAATGAAGTTAATCTAGTGTTGGTCACTTTTCAGCACTTTCTTTTCATTTTTAACGTAATTTTGTGTCATTTTTGGGCCACAAAGTTAACACTTCGTCCTTAATTTCATTTTACAACTTTTTAAACTTTAATTTTGTAAAATGGGTAGGATGAGGGATGTTAATCTGTTTGTAGAGTTGCTGAAGATGGCCAAGGACCGAAACTAGTTAGACTTAAAGTCTATATAAAGCGCCCTTCACACGATCAATATACAGGGTGTCCAATTAGTGCGATATCGGACGATATTTCCTTACAGGGTGTCGCTAGAAGAAAATGTTTATATATAAAGTTGTTTGGTGCTCGAAGGTGTATAACCCAAAAATATTTTTGTTTATACAGGGTGTCGCAAAAACAAAGTACAAGGTAGAACTTCGTAATATTCGTAACTTCGTACCTATTGTCCTATAAATAACTTAATAACTATTGCAAATAGGTATAGGACATGCTTTATAAAAAAGAAACCTTATTACTTGGTGAATAAGTTAAGATAAAAAAATATTTTATGAGGCATTCCATTTAAAAAAAATGAGATATAGCTATTTCAAGTTTCTGGTATTGAGTACAATATTACGAACACCCCGTAGAACGTTACCAGATTTTTATAGGGGCATGAAGTTACTGTAACTACGCATTAATAATTTACAAAAGATTTGCTATGTAGGGTCTTAAATAAATTGGGTATGCTTTCTTTTATAGACACGTGCAGACAGAGATTTTTTCACAAAATGTTGAATATTTCAAAAACGGTAAAATTTTGTTATAGGTAATGCTTAACAAAAAGTATGTCGAATTTTAAGGGTAATTCAAAAATGCAATAAAATATGGGGTGGTCCATTTAAATGTATAAAGTTGTACCTTATACTTTGTTTTTGGAACACCCTGTATAAACATAAGTATTTTTAGGTTATGTACCTTCGAGCACCAAACAACTTTATATACAGTGTTAGCGTAAAGTAACCCCCCCCTGTTTAACTTCTGAACAGATTGAGATATCAATATGAACAAAAAAACGTCAGTTTCTATATTTTATCAACACAAATATTTTCTTATGGAAAATTTTGGTATCACTTTTAGTTTTTCCTGAAAATGGAACAGCTTTGTTTTTTTAAATGGAACACCCAGTATATTATGGTATCTTTCGAAAGAATAAAACAATACGAATTCAACGATACCTCACAATCAAATATCGGTTTATTAGTTTTTTACATAAAAATTAAACAAAATGCGGAATTTCGCCGGAAAAACCAACGTATCTTCGTTGACTACCTGTCGAGATACAATGGGCCAGATAAATGGTGGGCGGTCAGTTAAAGGTCGGTCTACGCTCGGATTAAGCAGGGTTAAAATCAGCAATTCTTTTAGAATGTTTTTATGAAAAAATCAATACTAGAAAAGGATAAAAAGAAAGTTCTTTTTAAAACTTCTAAGAAAAAATTGTCATAACAACAATTTTAAAGTTTGTAGGTACTTTGAAATTTTGTATTTAAGGCAGCATGCAAATATTTTCCTTCATTTCTATCTTTGAATTCTACCCGACCAAGTATAACCAAAGAAAGGCGAGATCAAAATGGCTAGAAGGAGTTTAGAGCACAATATCGAAGCAATTTTAATATTCGCTCTAGCTGACAGAAATCTACATGAA